TTTTTTCTTTTTAAACACGCATTCTCCAAAAATTCACTATTCCAAAACTCATTTTCCTATTTGAATGGTAGACAAGCAGGGGCTTAATATAAATTTAACTGATTAAGTAATTAAAGCAAGTACCTGCGACTTAGCAACGTCAGCTGCCTCGGCACGTTTCTTAAGCTCCATCATTTGATGATAATCATCCTCAACTTTGGCTATTCGATTCATTGTGGCATGGAATATTTGCCCCATGAGCAATGCAATTACAAGGATGCCAATCGAGGTTGTTATTGCAACCCACGGCCACGGTGGTTTTTGTTTGAATCTGTATTATAGAATGTGTTTATTAACAGTTAAATATCAGCAATGGAATCATGATAAATATTAGATATAGATTTCTCAAGGTTTTACATGTCACCAACAAGAATAAAGGAATGTGGAAATAGAGAACCTAGAAATCCGTCAGTTTTCTAGATATTTAAAAGTGAAGAGAGGAGAGTTTAGATCACCTGCAATGCATTTCATGCTTTCTGAACGGATCTCCGAAGTTAAGGGCACTGATATGATGCAGCCCATCAGTAGACATGTTTGAACCATACATGCTGATAGGATGGGTGATATTAGTCGTATCATACACATTCACAAGGATAGTTCGTTTGCTGGCAAGCTGTTGAAGTAATTTCTCTACAAGTGATTCAATGTCGAAGACTCCACCAAGGTACCTATTTAGAAGAAGTAGAAACGTTAAAATAGTCACTTAATCAACCTGTTTTGACAAATTTAAGTTGATATAATACTGTTTATCTTTGTCTAGGAGAATAAGAATATTACAAGTCATATAAGGATTTGATTGTTTAATAATGGAAATATCTTTATAGAAATAAGCTTCAAATATAGAAAAAGAAAAGAAAAAAAATGTCTTTTATAACATAATTATATATTTGTTTCTTTTAATTTGGTCAAATCTTCCAGCAGATTACACTGCCATAGGACTAGAATGTTGAGCTACAATAAATTCCCTCAACTTTTCCATGCAAATCCGTTAATTCTGGAAAGAGCTAAAAATAAAAATTAGAGTTGCTTGAGTGTAACATCTACACGCAATTTGAAGTGAGATGACATACCCAGCAGTTGCTTGGATCCGTTCAACTGGGGTTCCATTAGGGGGAAGATCTCTTTTGTAGACAGCAAAAGTCAATATTACTCCAAGGCGGTTTGTTTTGAGCAACGGGAAAGGAGCAGTGAGGACACCTTTTCCTAATTCTCTTGCACGCAATACATTCTCACGATCTTCCTGTCAACAAAAAGATTGATGTTATAAAGTTTCCTGTCATTTTTTTTTTCTTTTCTTTTCTGCCTCTCTTTTCCACTTCAAAAATAAAGCAAGAAAAATGAGACATAATGTTAACAATGATCTTGCAAATTCATTTTTAAGCAAATTACGGGTCATAAAACTTAGAATTTTACCTTTCCTGAGAGCAAATCAACAGAAATTACATGTGCAATAGTATCTTGGGCAAAAATGACGGGGGCATATTCCTCCTGAACCGGTGATGGCTCAAGGTCTGCTGGATCATACTCGTCTTCATGAACTGGGGTTTGTTCAATATCATCCATTTGCTTAATGGTCCAGCCTTGTTCAGTTTCAAATTGCTTTCTTTCAGAGTGGAGAACCCTTACAGCATATGCCACCCCGCTTGTGAGGGGCCTCTCAAAAGCTGTTCTTTCCGTGTACCTCGCAAAAGTATTCTGCAGGATTTTGAAGTTTGATTTTTTTGTGGATAGATACAAGAGAGTAGAAGGAAAAGAACAAGGATATGACTCCTAATGCTATAAATGTGAGGATCTCTATTGACAAGAATCTCACAAGAACTTTCCTTTGACCAAATTTATCATGTGAAGAATTATCAGTCTCAGCCTTCAATCGAGAAATGAAACTTTAACATTTAGGATGGATTTGGTGGATCATATTAGACCATATAAAAAATCACAGTAGATAGGTGAATGGTGTTATGGTGGATTAAGATGGTTAATATTCTTTGATCTTTTAGTTCAAAAAATACCATTATTTTATCCCGTATAAAACCATCGCCATCCACCGCGTTGCATTATACGGCTGATAATGCAAATGACATTTATGTTACAATAAGATTAAACAATATTATTCACCGTAATACCATCCAACTATTATTATCCATTCTAATTCTATACTAATTTTACGGTACACTGTAGTGCACCAAAATTCAGCTTGAAGATGATGTATCTTACCTGATCAATGGCAGAAGGGTTCTTGCCATGGTGGAAGGTTGAAATCAAAACAGACATGGACTGTATATGATTCATACTAACATTAAATTGATCTTGCAACATCCTAGCCCTCTCATCACACATACTTGCAAGTGCCTCTTTCCTCTTCTCATAAGCTTGCGAATTCATGTACCAGAACACCCAAACCGATGCTACGATCCAGAACCCAATCCATGCCACTAAAAGCTTCCTCCACCAGTTTGTCCTAACTTTCCTCGACCCGATATACTGGGAATAATAATGGTGGAACTTATAACCACTTTCCAAAATCAAATCCCACAATTTTATCCATATCCGCCCTGCATCACCAAGCCAATTGGTCCTGGTAGTCATGACTTCACCTTTACTCAGCAAATTCAAAGAAATGAGAGACAAAAACCAGCAACATGACATCAAAAGTTGATACCCCACCTTCAAGCCAAATCCAATTACATGGAATAAACTCATCTAACAAAGAAATTAACCAGGAAAATCAACTTCAAACAATATCAAATTGAAACCCCTTCCGATTCTTGCTATGTTCATATCAATCTAACAATATCAAATTGAGCTCCTTCTGAATTATTGCTATTTTCATGTGAATCTAAAAGCTCCCACACTGTCAACCCTCCACGCTCAGTAAAAATTTATATCTTATCCATTTAATTGCCCCAATTCTGTATGATAGAAGACCAAGAATTGAACACCCACATCGAAGGAAGAATCAAGAACTTCCGAAGATTCCAGCTTTCTTCAATTCCCTACCACTTCCTATAAAAATTTCAGCTACCCACAAAAAACCCAGATGGAGAAATAGATTGAAACAAACTAAGCAAAGATTCTTTTAAGAATAGATATCAAATAAAAAAACAACCGACAAAGAACCTGACAGCACAAATTCCCTCAAAGGGTCTCGATAAAATCTTGAAATCAAACTAATCAAGCATGTGAGTGTTTTAGTTTTTGAGTTTGACCCTCAATTTCTAGCCTGTTTAAGTTAAAAATAAGTAGATTACGGGTGCAATAAGCAGTAATAGTGCAGCCAGAATGATAGAAACTAGAAGAAAAAAGCAGAATTTTGATTCGTATGGACACTATTGAACAAGAATCTGCAAAAGCAAGATGATGGTAATACAGTGGTAGAAATGTCTGCTAGCACAGCTCCATTATCTATAATCCCAATTCATCGGCTCCAAAAAAATAAAATAAAAAATCCAAGAAAATGCAAAAGTAATATATTTTTTAATACAATAATTATTGCTAGAATAACATATTAAGCAATAATTTAATAAAGAGAAAAGGTGTATTTCCAATAAAAACACTGCTTTTGCTACTTTTCATTTGCGTTCACATTCTATCTATCCATTTAATTCACCCAACAACTCATACATACACGCCAAGTAGTTAAATCTATGGTTCTTTGTATGTATCTGCTTTGAATTGACATAATTACCCTTCCATGCAGATAATATCAAAAGTGACATCAGATGTTACTTCTCATGAAATCTCGTGGGCTGAAAATATCCGTCGACAGGATAAGTTATAAAAAAGAGAAAGTGTAAAAGGAAAAGGGAGGTGGAAATGAGGCCTCAATGATGGGTACCCTCCAGGTGTTATTATATATCTTGCATCCTTCACATTTGGAATCTAATTATAATTTAACTTGCACTATTTGCAGTGATAATAATAGTTGTTTAAGATTTTCACGTTACGTCGTAGAAACTCAACTTCTAAACATGTTCTAATTTGTCGTTTTTATAAGTTTGTTTCAGTAGTAAGTCATAATTGGACTTTAAATGTGTGTGTGATTGGCATTATTTTTTATGAAAATTTTCATTTTTTCACCTAGATTCTCTTCATGTTGAGCTGATATTTTGAAAATTTTCAATTTTAACGTTTTAGAAACTATTGAGACGAGGGTAAAACAACAGTGATGGCAGAGTAGTAATTTATAGCAAAAATCAGGTGCATAATTGTGATGAGGCCATACAGCACCCCACATCTGTCTTTTTGGTNGATGGCAGAGTAGTAATTTATAGCAAAAATCAGGTGCATAATTGTGATGAGGCCATACAGCACCCCACATCTGTCTTTTTGGTCGTGTCTTGGGCCGAGAAAGCGACGGCCCAGCGTCAGCGGCCCGGTTTCACTGAGGAGACCAATTGGATTGTGTCACGTGTAGTGCCATAATAGGGTTTCACTTAGAGAGAGAGAGAGAAATTAATTAATGGAGCAACTTAATGTCACGTACCCTAATGGGATCTTTCTCTTTGGTGATTTAGATATTCGAGCTTTGTCCTACTAATTTTGAAACATAGCGACTTTCCTCCTGTTCAACACCTGAGTTAATGGGGTCGTTTTGATATGTCTAAAAGGGTACAATGGTTTGTACATGTTGAGGATAAAAGGCCAAAACTAGGGGGGAAATAAGTGATTTTCATTTGTAAATAAATATTTTTACATTTAAAAAAATTAGAATTGTTTCAACATGTATTTAGAATCGTACCCATTTAAATTTTCGAATAAAATTCTTTAATGTAGTTCTAAAAAAGGTGACATTTTATGAAAGACCTATAAACCATATGTTTTCATGCACTTTCCATAATCCATACCAAATCGTTCGGTGGGATACTCTTTTTATATTTATTTTGAGTGACCAAATTCTAGTTCGTTCATCAATATAGGTAAGTACAGCGTTGCATTGATTTTGGAAAGGTGTTTATTTGAAGAATAATGTTATTTACAGTCGCTCACTACAGCAGTTGCCTTACGTGGCATACATTAATGTGGTAGTTTTTTTATTCATTAATGTATCAAATAATCACATGTCATGTGTATGTCACGTAGGGCGAATATCGCAGTGAGCGACTACGAATAATATTACTCTTATTTGAAATACATGTTAGCACTAATTCTGTTGGGAAAGTGCTATAAATAATTGGATTTGTCGCTTGAAAATGTACATAAATTGTTGTGGAGTAATGGATCTTGCCCATTCCAATGTCTCTCTATTTTATCATTGTCATTTTCTCTCTACAGTTGACCATTCCCTTTCTTCTTTACTCACTTTTTGGTAGTTTTTTTTTTTTTTTTTTTGTAGTGAATCTTTGTGATAACTAGGGAATTAGATAATCAAATTAGAGTTTAGAGAGTTCTTGTGAGGTTTTCGCAATCTCTTGGGTCCCTCCGATTGATGCTCAACAATGACCTACACTGAATTTTTGTGATTGTTGGTTGAAAACTTTTATTTGAGACCTTAGAAATGTGAAAGTGAAATCAATATCAAACAAGAGAATAACTTTCTTTTTCGTATTTCATTATTTTAACATCGCATTAAGTGAACGAACACAAAAAAATTATATATTTTTACCTCTTTAATTTATGGTTTGAACATTTTTATATTGTTCAATAGTTTTCGTGACGAACTAACTCAGAGGTGATCTCGTAACAAAGATTAGAAGAGAGTTTAAATTTAGTGGTCAACTTTTTATGAATGACAAAGCTAAGAACAAGTCCAAATATAAGCTGCCAAGTAGTAATTTTGAAAGAATAAATGTCCCCACAGAAATTAATATAAAATATATAAACATTGATAGAATTTTGATTACTCAAATTAAATTAAAGAATTTGGAAACGATGTTAAATGAATATTTTTTTAATTATTTTAATTTTATCTTTCAATTATTTTTTTAGTTGTTTCGATTTTAACGTGCCACATATTTTAACATTCGTCAAAAATGATGACGAGTGGGTGACATCAAGATGAATCCAAAATTTTGAAGTACAATAGTAAGGGTTGCTCTTTATCTAAACATTATTTTATTTATATATATATTTTCCCTTTTATGCTTGGTTATATATGTTTTCTGCCACCATCGTAGATTGCACAAGTTACTGTGGACCGTAGGATCCAATTCGAAATTATAAATTGTGAGAAAATAAAAAAGTTGTACATCACTTTGATTAAAGTAATGTATGTTAGTTCTAAGAACGTTTTAGTGGGTACATTCATCCATTGATGGAAATCCGTGATAGCGATTCATCCACGTGATTGATAGTGGGAGCTTGCCAACTTTGCTTAAATTAGTAGTAGCGTGGGTCTGAAATTTTACGCTCAATTTTAATTTACTACAAATCGTTCTAAAATTTGATTTGAGTATTAACAATATGGATTTAATCCGAAACCAAATTGGCTCTCTCGTGGGTCAAGGCACATCGTTGGCTATAGTATTTGTTAAATTGTTTAGCACATCAAGTTATGATTCAAATTTACAAGATTGTCTATGATAAATTAACTCATTTGATCGATATCTGATTTATCAACACTGTTCTAATGTCATTAGATGACTACTCATTTGAACCCAATAAATATATATCAAACTCAAAGGAATCAAACTCAAAGGAAAATGGTAAGTAGGGTCAGCATTTTCACCCAACTTTTGAATGATTGGAAGATTCATCCGTGAACTTGTTTGTTAGTATGAGTCAGCAATGTGCATGCCGGCAAAGGCAAATGGTTCTTTTCATAATCACTTTTCAACTAAGAGGAGGAACATTGTATGGACTATTGCGATGTGCACTTGTGGAAAATTCATTGATTCTATTCTAGGTTTTACCCTTTGTTCCCAGTAGCCTAATGAATAATTTATTTCAAAACGCGTGACAATCATTCAAACTTTTATGAAAAAAATAAAAATAAATGATGTTTTGGATGGAGCCAAAATTTGATGATTAAGAAGATAATACAAGTAGCTAGATTTTTGTAAATTCAAATTCAATGACCTAATTACAAATGAGCGACCATAACCATGTTTGCATTCAGATGTTAGTTTTCATCACAATCTCAAAAAGTTTGTAGACAAATTTGTTGGGTATAATGCTTATCTCACAGGTTTTGTTCTGCTGTTTGACATCACACCAACGGAATTGTTTATCAGATCACTTGCAATCTCTGTATCTCCAACGGCTTTACTGTACGCCACCACAAAAATTTGTCGCAATTTGATATGCCTGTTTTCATTCATTCGATGAAGTGATTGGATAGAGATTGTCTGAAAATAACAATTAAAATTGCCTGAATATATTCAATTTAGCAACTGTGTGTTTACTCCATACAAGACAAGGATTTCTATATGATCTCCAATGGTTATCTTAAATAAGAACCCACCTGGATTCAGAGCCTATACATGCAAACTAAACCAAATCTGTCGAACAAGGATGAAATGCAGTGCCATTTACAAGCCAAGGCCTCTTTCTCCCATATGATGGGATTTTTCGAGCTGTCTTAAACCATTCCTTGCTCGATAAATCATAAGTTATCAGACGATACTTACGTTTTGATCTAAGCGACATCATAACCAAACCTTTGTTAGCCAGGAAATCCAATTCGACTGGCTTCCCATAAAAATCCAAGCAAAACTGGGTTGGCATTCTGTCGACTAGCTTCCACAATAAAGTCATCTTCTGCAGCTCCCATACGCTGATGCACGTCATAGCAATATTGTTCTCAAGCCCCACCAGCATGAGTTTCCCTCCGCATTCTGCTACTGTATAATCACTCAGATGTAGAGGAGCTGGGATTAAGATTTGTTTCCAAACCTCGATCATCATATTATAGCACACAATTCCATCGGGGTTTGAATGCATGAAGTAAAGCGTTCCTTCAATAGAAACTGCCTGAGACTTGATATTCAGGTTGAGTGGACGCTTGATATTTGTGGGCAAGCTCCCCGGACAACCCCAAGAGTTCTTTGCGGAGTCATAAATTTCATACTCACCATCACAACTAATGCAAACAATCTTATATCCAGCGTTTGGAGAGCTCGCATTTACAGTCATCCCAATGGCCCCAAAATCAACTGACCTAGCTGGCAACTCTTTGAAGGAGGCCATAACAGGGTTGCAGACGTAGGAAGTTAAATATTCACTATCAAGAAAACAGACGAGACCCCCTGCTGATGCCACTGGCTCCACGATCAACTCCGTCAGCAGGGCAGGCACTGGTGGATGATACCATTTCTTTGACTGCGGATCATAAATGGCTCCATCATTAGCCTTTCCAGGTATGGTGGCATAAATCCAAGGTTGGCAGGTTTGCTTAACTTGAGCACACTGTTGGGAGTAACTCTGTGAAGTCAGCAATGAATTCCAATCCTTGCAAACTGAACGAAAACGGAAAAATGTGGTTATGGGAAGTCTTGCTATCACAGTTTCATAAAGATCTCTTGGAAATTCTTTCCATACACATGGTTTCAGAATTTCAGTCAATCTTGTAGTTGCAGTCACCTTTCCTCGAGCCTGTTTCTTTCGAGCTTTCTTTGCTAGTGGAGGCTCACCAGTTTGCAACATTTTGACACTTCCAGATCTACCAGCAGTCATTCTGTGGAGCAATTTTCAAGAATGGCGAAAGGTGAAGTTTAACAAGATGGAATTAAATTGAAGGCTGTACAATTACAAAACATTATCAGCAACTTCATTAAATGTAAACATCAATTATTATTCCAAAAGAAAGTAATGAATACTTCAGTAAGCAGACTTGATATCCAGGATCAAAAGCATGTTGCGTTCATGTAAGCAGTGAGTTACGTAAAACAATTATTTAAAAGATAAAGATGAGAGAGTTGGCAACTGAAACTAAAACTCAAGATTTATTACATAACATTAGTCTACAAACCTGTAATTACTCACTCATTTGATAGCTGAAACATCCATTAACTTACACAGAATAGATAAATTCATGAGAAAAAATTATTCTAATCATCTATTTCCATTTCTCTCTTCACACAATCTATCATTGGATCTGGTGTGATATATTAAGAACTTGGAAAAATCTGATAACGTGATAGAAAAGCTCATGGTAAGCTGCTTGGAATTGGAATCGATATGCTTACATAAATCAATATTTAAGCTAGAGACACACATCCTGACTTGCGCATGTATTCAGCAGTAATGCAATTAACAATTAGAGTAAGCTAACATTACGATGCTACAAAGATGTTTCAACATAAATATGGCATGGTAAAATTACAAGAGTAATGCATTTTTTGAGAAAGAATATATGTATTCAGTTCGGGGATTGGTTGTTCGGTGGTTATGGATGGGATGCCTGGACAAATTCGTCCCCAACCGTCAAGGAAAAGATACTATAAATTTGTATGGCCAATTAAACAAGTGACTTGCAGCTTGATTTGGGTCAGTCAGGTCATGTCTAACAACTATAAAGACCATTGTAAAGTTGAATAATCCACCAAGCAACTAAAAATGAATACAAAATCACATATGTGAACAAGTACAAGATCTTAAAAAAATAATAAAAAATAAATCCACAATATAAATGCACAATGCTTACCATTATCAGGGGACTAACCGAAATAGAAGATAGAACTAGCATCAGAAATGATAAGCCACTGTTCGGGTTACATTTTTTGTTGCTAAAAACTTAAATTAATGAGGAGTTAATGAGTTTGACATCGAAAAGTAGAATTTAAGGGGGGAAAAAAAGGAACCCAAGCATAGGTTAAATCCATTAAATGCAAGATACACAACTCATAATTGATTATGTAAATTAATTTTGGCATAACATTACCTTAATCTCCAGAAGCATCAAACCGGAATCAATCGCGATATGAACACACTGAACCGGCCAGAATCACGCTTCTCTTACTTAGACAGACAACGAAACGATTCTCAATGGCGGAAAGAGTTGTTTACATATGAAGATTCGCTGACAAATAATACAAAATCAACTATTTATAGCGAAAAAATCTTTTAGATTTATTTCTATTCAATAACTCTAAAATTTTTCTCCTTCCTATCACTTGACGGAATATACCGAATTGTTTCGGGTATGATAACGATTCTAATTACAGAAACTAAAGCTACTATTTTTATTATAAATATAAAAAAGTAAGAGATAAGGCAGAGACCTGAAGTGGTGTTGCGTGGAAACGGAAGAAGAAAGTAATTCTTGGCGGCCATAGACCATAGTTCCACTTTTCAATGCACCCTCTTCATATTTATATATGGAGTCTACGTAAAATCGATAATTTAATACTGATTAATTTAAAATTTTATTTTTCCACTTTATTTTTCTTTTCAATCACATATTTTTTAATAAAATAATATTATATAACAAAATGAATCTTTGCCAACCACAAGGGTTAGTGACAGACATATGCAAAAAATATGTATAGTTTCTAGCTTATAATTCGTAGAACCACACAATACGCACATTCTTAATTATTAAAGTGACAAGGTTCGTTCAATTAATCAATTAAAGAGCGTATTCAATTTAAATTGCTAAATACTTTCATACATTTAAAAAATTTAGATTTAGATATTTTCAATCAAGATTTTTTTTTGACTATAAAAGCATTTCCAATATTAATATGAATTGCACAAAGAAAGTTTGTGACTTAAGATAAAAGTTTCTATATGGATGAAAATAGTAAATTGCACAAAAGAATTTACAAGTTATTTGTTATGGCACCTCACATTTTCCTTCAATTTATCCAAATTCACAATTTCACACCACCCCAACCAAAAGTCTTCGGAACAATTTATTTGATATCATGTCACATACCACTTTATTTATCTACAGTCACAACATCCTGCCCAAAGTTATTTGCCGGCTCTCAGTCTTTGATTCTTATTTGATTCACACGTGTGCATAAAACTTTGGTTTGGTTTAGCAAAAAATTAATAAAACATATGATCTAGAAGTTCATAAAACTGTTGATCCCTTTCCATGAATTTTAACACAGATATTTATCAACTTTTTAGCTAATTCAAACCCAAGATAATCACTGTTGATCTAAGAGTCTAACAAAATGCATTGTTGTCACTATGCACTTTTACTCGTGTTCGTTTCAAACAAGATTCATATGCATAATCAATTTCTGACTAAAAAATGGCTATTACAAGTAAACACTGTTTATAAAATAACAATTTCTCAAGAATTGAAAATCACAGAGATTCTTCGCCAATTGTGTTAATCTGGACCAAGTTTGTTGTGATATTGGAAAGGTTAACTAGTGGAGTATATGTATAATCAATTTCTGACTGAAAAAGGGCAATTACAAGTAAACATTGTTTATAAAATAACAATTTCTGAAGAATTGAAAATCACAAAGATTCTTCGTCAATTGTGTTAATCTGGGCCAAGTTTGTTGTGATATCGGAAAGAGTAATACTATTCATAATCGTTCACTGCGGTAGTCGCCCTACATGGCATATACATGGTAGGTGATTATTTGATGCATCAATATAGTAGTTTTTTAATTCATTAATGCATCTAATAATCACCTGCCATGTGTATGTCACGTAGGGCGACTGCCGCAGTGAACGACTGTAAATAACATTATTCTATTGGAAAGGTTAACCAGTTGAGTAAAAATCATCTTGGAAACCTAGATAAATAACTTGGCAATTGGTATTCTAATAATCCTCTATCATGTTGGTTTATATCACCTTATTAAGTCCCAAGTGATGTGCACTTCCCAGGATTCAAGGGGACAAGACTTTCGCTTCATCAAGTCCAAATGATCGCACTTCAGCAGGTCTGAAATTTACAGCTACAATATTTCCAAACCAGATACGCTACAGGCCAAGGAGCACCAAGGCTAGAATGGCCTAAAACCGCATACTTTCGAGGACGATCTTTATTCAACAATGAAACCATCTGGCTTCGTATTAAAGACTTGAGACAGACATGAGACTACTCAACAGGCATAATTTTATGACTTGGACAACCTTTTTTATGGGCTATCATTTTATCAACCAATCGACCAACCAGTTCACCCAGATTGAACAGAGGCTCTCGGGAGCACAGACAACAAAACAAAATCAATAAACAAAAGAATATAGCTCAAAACGCACGCGCATGTTAACGTCTAAAATTGACGAGATACCCAAGTATAGAATCCTAGATAACAGCAACCAGAATCAATCTAATAATCTAGCCAGAACAAAGGTCAACTTCACAAACGACAAGATCCATAAGAGTTAATACAACAAATTCTTAGAACTTAGAAGGCAAAGTAACTCGACAATTGCCGCGACAGGAAGATGACACAACCGACTTTCAGACACCCATACTAAGCAACGCTGGACGACAACTCTGGACCTTCTCAAACATGCCTAGTACTCATTGGAACAGCAGACAACTGTAATTAATAAACGCACATTGCTAAAAAGTAAAAGAAGAAAGTGAACATGTAAACACTGCACGATCAATTAAGGAGAAAAAATATGTAAATATATCAACAGGAGGGGTTTCTATTAAAAGTAAATCTTTACATACAAATTTCCAATTTGAACACTTACTGAATTTATAGCACCTATACAGAAGACCAAAGGACATGTACAAACTTCAAATTACAGAGGTTCCTACCGACTTCACATATCTCACAACTGACCTGATCATTTGCATCAGCTGCTTCCGGAGAGGTGTTATTAATCTCAGAAGGTTTTTCAGCACCACAATTCTGTCTGTTACACTTAGTCCTGATGGGGTAGTTTATATTGCCGCATTCCTCACACTTCCAGCTCCCTTCTTGCATGTCTGGTTATAGAACACAACATTGTAAGAAAGGAGAAAAATATTTTCCATATAATGGAAAATAATATTTCTGTTTTCGGACTTACTTGAGTTCTTGCCTGATCTTTCACCCTGCTGAAAAAATAAAAAGAAATCAACTAAATGAGTCCCAGAATGGGAAAACTTAGAAACTACAACACTGATTCAATACTAGATATCAACAGTATAAAATGTGACAGCCATCAGATACATATTCAAATTAAGAGTTCCATGTGATGTCCATTTATAACTTTCAGGAAGTCGTAGCGCAAACCTGGGATCCAGGCCTAGGAGTGTTGCATTTTCTCATGTTGCAAACCGTTCTGAATGAAAAGTTGACATTTCCACATTTGGGACATGTCCAGTCATTATCACGCATTCCATCTAAAAGAGCATTAAGAGAAAGCTCTAATTCATCCAATTGAATGTATCTTAGTTTATAAAAGAAAGCTTCAAATGCAACAAAAGGATATAAGTTATAGCATACCTCCACCTTTCTTTCGAGAGTTATCCTCAGGGAAAAATCCAGGTCTTGGGCCCTGCAATAAGTTGTTCCACTTAATAGTTTAGGAAACCACCACGACGATATTCATTGAGCACAGAATAATGCAATTCTTGATTGAGACGAAGAAATGATCCCATATTTTCTGAGAAAGAAATAGGAATACTGACATTCCATCATCAGCAAACACCGTGTTGGGATTATCAAAACTTGACTAATATAGATTCTTACACCATGCATTAAATTACCGGACACATGCAAGAATGAAGCTATTCGAAAAATACCTTCACATATTTTATTAAGGGAAGCGAACGAAAGGAAAAAGAAACCTTATATAGCACTCACCATGGCAGAGCCCATAGACAAACCAAAGCCATATCGATCCATTAGTGGAGTCATGCCGAACATCCCACCTACAAGGTGTAAAATAAGATGGAGAATAATGAATCAACAATATAAAAACAAATACTTTAAAGGATACAAGAAAAGGTTCCAGTACAAATAAGTAAGATAAATAACGGAATGAAGCAATGAAATGGTAATCAAAATACTATGAACAAGGCTTAGTTTTATGTTTTTGATGTTTCACTAATTTCTACGGGCCAAAAAAGTGAAGTAGATGCCACAAAAAGTATTACTGAGCAGATATTGCAGATTTAGGAACCTAAAATATCAAGAGAGAAGGGACATACTATTTCCCATCATTGATCCACTTGAATAAGGAGCTGGACCAGATAAATGCAGGGGCCTATATGGGTTGCCTCCAGGGAGACAGTTGCCATAGTTATAGTGATAAGCTCATAAGCAGAGCCCCCAGAAAATGGAACATCGTATGGTTGTATAGATGTTCAATTAAAGAGAGAGGAACCATAAGGTGGTGCGCCCATATACATTGAGGATGCACCAGATCCTAGATAGGGCCCTGCGGAAGAGTAGCCCTGAGGTGCTTGCATTGGCTTGGCAACAGATTTCAAGAAAAAGAGAAATGACGTTAGTTAATAGACTTTATCAAAAATTTTACAAAAGTAGGATCTTGACGAAAGCAAATAAAAAGAACAAAGGTATTAACTCTGTGATTTATGATGCTCAGACTTGGGTATGAGTACCGGGTACGGGTATAGGTACGTATTTAAGTGTCGGATATTTTATTTTCTAAAATGTAGGGTACAGGGACAAGGTTAAAGAGTCCAAATTTCAGATACGGGTATGTGTTATGTTATTCAAACTTCAAATTTTTTTCCTATAAAAATTCGTATGTAAAAAAGTGAAATAATAATTAGGTGACAAATTGTTAAAAGATAGAACACGTCGCTTAAAACTATCTAAAATTTATACTAAAATAATAAGTTTTTGTTATAAAATATACTTCCAAAAATTAATATTAAGTTTAAGAGTTTTTTTTCATATGTTAATTTTTTTTAATAATTATTTCAATAAATAAAAAATAAATGGTCCAAAGTCATAAATATAGGCCTACATGCATAGAAATAAAAGTTCGTTATTAACCCAGAAGCCCAATGAAAGCCCAGTCATTAACCGAGGTTATTAGTTTCCTTTCACTTTCTCTCTCTTTGATTCTCTTCCTTCTCTCTACTCCGAGGCTCTACTTGCTGCAGCCACTCCGCCTCCTCTGGTTGAGCTGCTTGAGACCTCCTCCTCCGGTTACGACACTGCTGGACCTCACTCTTTCCTCCTTAGAGCAGAAACGGATAAGAAGAAAAGGGGAGGAAAAAAAAAGAAGAAGGAAAACCTAGCTGTATCCGCCCCATATTTCATACCCGTACCCGTGTCGACACGACACGGGTATTCCGGCCAGAATGAAGAGTCCGAGCATCACAGTCGGTGATCATTTATCTACCCGAAATGTCTTTTGCTTGAAGACCCTTGTGCACAGGGAGACATAATGAACCCATTTTACACCATTACTATTTAGA